GAAGGGTTGATCATTCCAGATCAGGCAAATGACAGTGAACAAAGAAAGACACAGAGATAGGAATGTACTCGGTGTGTCCAAGGAACAGGGTGTACACACAAGCCGGGCCAAAGTGGAGAGTTCATGTAGAGTGGAAAATAAAAGTTGGAAAGTAGTTTGTTCTTTATCCTACACATAACAGACAGCCTCTGAGTGAGTGGCAGACCTGAAGAAAACTGTTTTAGGAATCTTCAGGATTCCTCTGTGGTTGGTCCCCTGCCGAACACACATTTAGGCAGCCATTCGAAGGGCGAAGCTAACTTTACTGCAGTTTCAGGAAATCATGGGATGCAAACTATATTTAAATAGGCAAAGATTATTAGCTGAACCTACCTTGGCTTGGTTTAGCTTAGGAGAGTGAGCAGGTTTTTACCGTTTTAATTGATTCTGGCTCATCCTCTTACCCTCTCCTTACAGGACCAAACGTGTTTTGTTGTTTGGTTTTTTTTAAACTAGATTTCAGGTAAAATCTTTTGGCTCCTCATTGCAGCTTTCCTTTGTGCAGGTACTTGAATCTTATTCTAGAAGTTTTTTCTTCCCTTGCGTTTCACGCGCATACTTCCTTAGTTAAGTCTTCCTTTGCTCTACAGGGACAAAATGTCTCTCAGCTCATGCTCCCTGACTCCAAGCCTTTGCCCCCTGGCCTACTTCCAGTCAGTCAGCCAGCCAATGAACTCCTTTCTCTTTTTATTAGCATTCATCAAATCCTTCCTTCTTCAGAATCCCAATTTCCTGTAACAGTTTCCCTTTCTTTCCATCCTTGTCTTGCACTCGGTTTATACGTTGAGCCCAGCCATCTAGCGAACCTTGGAAAGAGCATCTATGAAGCCCATTTTTAAGTGAGATAACTGCATCCTGGGTAAGCCGAGGCTACAATTCAGTGTGCTGATGCCTCTGTTGATCTCCTCAGGGTGGCCGCTTTCTGCACAGGTGCCCCTCCACAGCTTCTTATCCTGTGCAATGCATGTCCATGTCTTGCCACAAAATCTCAATGAAGACTCCACCCAACGCTTTGGTATCTTCATGCCTCGGTTTCCTAATCTGTAATATAGGAATAAGAATAGCACTTACCTCACAAGGTTGTTTTGAGGATCAAAGGAGATATTTGTAAAGTGCTCTGCCAACCTTAAAATGCCAGATGAATGTCAAGAGGCCTTTGGAGAACACTTTGCGGGTACCAGTGCAATGCTTGGGCTTTCTGTTATCTTTCTCTCTTGCCACATGACTTGTCCTTTCTTCTTTTCCAATCCCAGGTGTCATCGTATGAATGGCAGTAAGGCATAATGGATAGAACACTCGACCTTGAGACTCGGGTTCAAATGCCACTTCTAACACTTGCCAGTTGTATAACCAAGGACCAGTCACTTCATGTCTGTAAGCCTCATTTTCCTCATCTGTAAAAATGCAAATAATACTACCTGGAGGACTGAGTCGCAGTGATGATCATTTGAAATAATGTATGTAAAAACTCTTTGCAAACCTTAAAGTGCTACATGAAGTCAGTTCTCATGCACTTGGTAGCTTTTAAGATATCACGAGTACGGTTCGTTGTTGGTAATAAGCTGCGACTTCCTTACTCCCACCATGTGTCTCTTCATTGCCGCATGGGTCACCTATAATTGTGACTCAATTGAAATTATCATGTTCCATGATCATTCCACAAAGCATCCTTGGAAGATGATGTGTTTAAAAAAAAAAGGGGGGGGTGTGGGCTTCAAATGTGGTCCCAGAGATAGGTTTGTATTTATTGTTTTAAGAACTGTAGAGCAGGGTGGGGGCAATAATGGAAAGCACACTAGACCTGAAATCAGAAGAGACCTGGGTTCAAAATCCTGCCTCCGACACAAGTTATACAACTTTGGGCAAGTCACAAAATAATAAGTAGCACTGTTACTCTAAGGTTTTCAAAGTGCCTTACATTTTGGGAAATAAGTGCTATAATTATCCCCATTTTTACAGCTGAAGAAACTCAAACAGAAAGAGGTTAGGCAGCTTGCCCAGTCACACAGAAAGTATGTGGCTGAGGCCAGATGTCCCGAGCTCTGTCCACTGTGCCACCCAGACAACCACTTAGCCTCTGTGGTTAACTACAGGTCTCCATTTCCTTATCTGTAAAATGAAAGGGTTAGACTAGATGGCCTTTAAGGGCCCTTCCAGTCCTAAAGCTATGGGCTTTCTTTTCCCCTTGGCCTTACTGAGCCTCAGTGTCCTCATCAGCCAAGTGGGAATAATAATGCTCCCAGGGTGGCCAGGATCAAATGAAGTGACACCTGCAAAGCATTTCACAGAACTCTCTTACAGAGCCAGGTAATTGTCAGCTCTTATCATCTTGTTCTCATCTTTTCAGTGGAGTTCTGACAGAACAGACCCAGGACAAGTTACTAGACTGGTCTTGTTCTTTTACATTTCATGTCCTACAGACTATTAATAGCACAGGTAGATAAAATAACTGCCTTTTGTAGCTAAACAAAAATACTGAGATGTAAGTAAGGGATGTCTGCTATAGACTCACTGAAAGCATCCCTGGGACAGCTCCAAGGCACAGGTATAATAGGTACCTCTTTGCATTCTCACATTATTCTAATTTATTCTGCTAGGTTTTTATTGTTATTGTTATCTAATTCTCTTGTCTTTTTAAAAATAGGGTTCAGGTAGAACAAGTCACTCTCTTGCCATTTGCTATCTAGCACAATACCAGACACATGCAAAAAGCACTTAATTAACGACCTTGGTGCTATTGCAGAGACAGATAAAAATGACTACTTTGGGTAAGTTAATAGGAGTACTAGGACACAACCTCATCTTCTGTAGCCTCTGTGGCACAACTCTCAAGTCATACAGTGATGACATGTACTGTGTCCTGTTCCCACGTGACTCTGATATCCTCTGCTAGGTCTCTATATTTCGAAAGCTTTTTTTTTATTCCATGTATTTGGGGGGTTGATGAGTCAATATGTCACATCTATTAAAAATGTGATTCTTAGACTAACATCTCACACCATATGCCAAGACAAGCTCAAAATGGGTACATAATTTAGATATAAGGGGTGACATTATAAGCAAATTAGGGAAGGATGGAAAAAATTACCTGTCAGATCTTTGGGTAAGGGAAGAATTCATAATCAAACAAGAGATGGAGAGGATCACAAGAGGTAAAATGGATCGTTTTGATTACATTAAGTTAAAAAGATGTTGCACAAACAAAACCAGTGCAGCCAAGATTAGAAACAAAGCAGAAAACGGGGGGGGAGAGGAGATTTAAAGTAAGTTTCTCTTATAAAGGCCTAATTTCTCAAATATGCAGGGAACTGAGCCAAATTTATAAAAGTAAGAACCATTCCCCAATTAATAAATGGTCGAAGGATATGAACAGGTAGTTTTCAGACAAAAAAAGCAAAGCTATCTATAGTCATAAGAAAAAATGCTCTAACTCACTATTGATCAGAGAAATGCAAATTAAAACAACTCTGAGGTATCACTTCATACCCATCAGATTGGCTAACATGACAGAAAAAAGAAAATGACAAATGCTGGAAAAGACGTGGAAAACTTGAGATACTAATGCACTGTTGAAGCCGTGCACTGATCTAACCATTCTGAAGAACAAGTTGGAACTGCGATCAAAGAGCCATCAAACTGTGCATAGTCTTTGACCCAGCAATATTCCTATTTGGTCTGTTATCTCAAGGAGATAAAACAAAAAGGAAAAGGATCCATGTGTACAAAAATATTCACGGCAGCTCTTTTTGTGGTAGCAAAGAATTAGAAACTGAGAGGATGACCATCCATTGGGGAATGGCTGAACGAGTTGTGGTCGATGAATGTGATGGAATCCTATTGTGCTGTAAAAAAAGAGGAAGGGCATGGTTTTAGAAAAAACTCAGGAAGACTTGTATGAACTGATGCAAAGTGGAGTGAGCAGAGAACAAGGACAACATCGTGCACAGTAACAGCAATACTATGACAACAATCAACTGGGAAAGACTCAGTTACTCCGATTATTATGTCTCTGGCAATGCCAAAGGACTCATGATAAAAAGTGTCATCCAGTGCCAGAGAGAGAACTGATGAACTCTGAGCCTGAGGAATATTTTTTTCACTTTATTTTTCTTGCTTTTTTTCTCTTGCAACATAGTTAATGTGGGAATATATTTTGCTTGACTTCATATGTATGATTGTTATCATATTTCTTGTCTTCTCAATGGGTGAGGGAGTGGAGGAAGAAAATTTGGAACTGAAAATATATATTTTTTAAATGTCATTCTTAAATGTTGATGGATCGACGCTATATCTGGGTGGTTGTGACCAATGGTTCTGCCTGTAATGATGCACTGGTTTCAGTGCAGTTTATTTGGAAAATACACAAGAATATTTGGGGGTTTCACTTATCATTATGACTATTGTTGTTATTATGGTCACATCACTCTTCTCATCTTTATAGGATCAAAGATTTAAAACCAGCATTGAATAAGAAAATGTTTATAAAGAGCTTTGCAAACCTCAAAGTGCCACGTATGCCACTGCTTGCAACAGCAGCATGACATAGTGGAATGGGCCCTGGGTGGGGTCATGGTTTCCGATTCCATGCTCTGCCACTTCTACCCAATGACCTTGGACACACGGGGTTGGACTAGATCACTTCCAAGGGTCACTTCCAGCTCTAGAATTGTGGTCCTATGAGGTTTACATGTTGTCTTTGTCTTGCTTTCTGCTCCTGACAGAATATGTGCTTCTAGTGCTTAGCACAATGTCCAGCAGATAGGAGGCACTTAATAAACAGGGCAACTAGGTGGCCTAGGAAATAGACTGCTGGAGTTGTACTTGGAAAGACATGAGTTCAAATGCTGACTCACCCTTACTGTGGGACCTCTTTGAGCCTTACCTTTCTTATCTGCAAATTAGGGGTAATAATAACACTTTCACAGAGTTATTGTAAGGATCACATGAAATAACACAAAAAGTGCTTTTCAAACCTTTACATGAGCCGACTATTATTATAAATTCTTATTTATTGATTTATGGAGGTAATTAGAGAAGACTTCCTATTTTACAGATAAGAATACTAAGGTAAAGAGGTGGGGGAATCACAGAACTGGGATCTAGATCCCAGTTTAGCCTTTGGGTGCAGAACTATTATAATACTACTACTACTAATAATAATAATTTACCTTTATATATAAACCTCACAGCTTTCTAGGCCTTTGGGTTTAGAAAGCACTTTCCATGCAAGTTCCACAATGCCTAAAAAATATGTAATACCCTTCTATTCCTGGTAGTGCTAGAAGAGATAACTGGGATTGGCTACACATGGTGCGGATGTGCTACCAGAGAGAAAGTAGCCATCACCCCTCAAGTGCAACACCCTGGAACAATCACAGAAAGTTGCTCCATGACTGTGACCTAACCAGTTTCCACCTTGCTTCACCTGGCGCATTACCATACACAAGAATTTTTGTTTGCTTGCTTCATGGTTGTTGGGGTTTTTTTTTTAACCTTCCAGGTATCAATCAAAACCTCATGCCAGCCTCCACTCCTTGGAAATAATGAAACGAGATGCCGTGCGCGATTCATTCAGCTGGGCAGTGCAATGTGACCTGCATCTGGCTGGAGGAATTAATCGGTTTCCAATCCTCAGGCTGAACTCTCTGGGGCAGTTGAGCCGGCTCTCCCCTGTGGCTCTTAGGGTGTGCTCTGTCTCTACAGATAGAGAGACAAAATGTTTTGCTTTGGCAACCTGCTGCAGGAAAGCTGCTCGTCTCTAAAAACCTAATTTGCACATATTTTGTTCGTGGATTCCGTGCAGAGGTCCCTCCTCTCCACCCTCAGTTAAGTGGCGCAACTCCTTTATATTTGGGAAACTTCCTTTATGTCAGGGAGATGTGGGTTTTGTAAAGAACATGTGAACAAAATATCTGCAGCTAAAGTGTAGGCTCTGGAGCAAAATGGCCCTCCTTTCCCCTGCTGGAGAAAGTGACAGAAAAGAAAATATACCTAACGTTATCGCATCAGTGCCTCCATCTTCCCAACCCAGGAGCTGCTGAGAACTAAGTACTCAGGCATTCTATGCTACTGCAATAGCTATTTAAAAGTTCCCAGATCACAACCTGTGATTTCTAATGCAGACAAGTGGTATCATAAGACCAAGTGTGGGTGTTAAAAATAATAATAATAAATTACTATGCCATTCTCCCCTCTTCTTTTGCCAGGAAAGTATTTATTAACTCTCACCAGGCAGAGTGCAATTCTTCTTAAGGGGCTTTTCAGATGAGGAAATGGAGGCCCACGGAGTTGACCTGCCTGAGGCCACATAAGCAGTACTGGACTGAGGTGAGATGCAAACACAGGTTTTCTGATTTCAGATTGAATGCTCTTTCCACCACCCCAGGATGCCTCTAAAACAGCAGATGATAGGACAGGCTGGGTGGTGGGGAAGGAATACGATAGCTACCTTTAAGCATTTTGAAGGCCTTCATATGCAGGAAGGATAAGTCTTCTGTTTGCCAGCCCTCCACCCTGACAGGCAGAACTAACAGCAGCAGGTGGAAGTTGTAAAGACATATTAAGTTTAGCAGGGATGTCAGGAAACACTTCCTAATAACTGGAGCTATCCAAAATGGAATGGGCCATCTCAGGAACAGGGGGAGCCCTGAAATTAGGGGTCTTTGAGCAAAGGCTGAATGACCACTTGTCAGAGACATTACAGTACAGACTCTGGTTCAGGTATGGATGGAGGATGATCACAGGCTTTCAGAGTTAGAAGAGAATTCAGTACCTATCCAAATTCACTTATATTCCAGAGTCCCCTCTTCTTCAAGATGATGGGGGACCCCCTAACTCCCAGAGCAGACCATTCCCCTTTTGAACAACTCTTTTAGTAAGTTTTTCATTAAATGGACCCCGACATGCCTTTCTGAATCTTCGGTTCCCTGCCTCCTGGGACCAAAAGCAAGCTTGTTCTCTTTTCTTGGTCATCAGATATTTTAAGAGTGCTCTCATGCCCCTGCTAAGTCTCCTCTAGGTTAAACAGGCCTAGTTCCTTCAACCAATCCTCATGGGGCAAGGTTTTAGATTTCCGCCTGGTTGCCCTTCTCTGAACATGTACCAGCATATCAATGTCCTGCCCAAAATGTGATACCCAGAACTGAACGCAATACTGCAGATGTGGTCTGACCGGGGTAAAGGACAGTGGGATTACTGCCCCAGGAAAGCACTTCCCTTTCTTACTTTTCCAGCTCCTGTGGCCTTAGTGATTTTCAACCTAGTACAGAGAATTCTGAGGTCAGTCAATGTCTGGTAAGAAGAAGGTAGTGGTGAATAGCACCTTACTTGAATGACGTTAAGATCAATCTTGAGCAAGTCCCTTAAAATCTCCCTGGGTCTGTTTTCTCATTTCTAAAATGGACTGGAGTAGAAACCTCTAAACTGATCTAAATCATTTGAATACCCCATAGGTATGGCTCCTCTCCAGAGTCGTTCAATTGGATGCTCTCAGAGATTTCCCAAAGACCCAGAGTTCAGTGGTTTCTGGGCTACTTCCAGATGAGTCCTCTAAAGTCTTTACACCCTCCATCTTCCTGAGGGGCACGGTATAATTGTAAGAGCTCCAGAGTTTGGATTCAGGGCAGCACCAGATTCCCCAATATGTTGTGATTCATCTGATCTCACCAAACTACATTCTCCAGTACTTCTCTCTGTCCATATCCTGCACCACAGTAATATCAGGTCACTGTCAGTTAGTCAACAAACATTTATTAAGTACTTACCACGTGCCAGGCACATAAGTGCTGAGGACACAATGGCAAACACATGTTTCCTGACCTCAAGGAACTCATATCTCGTCCACGGGTCGCAGTTAGTGTCTGAGGCTGGATTTGAACTTAGATCCTCCTGACTTGAGGACCAGTGCTTTACGTTGCCACCACCTAGCTGCTCCTAGCTCACATCTTAAGGGGAGAGATAACATGCATAAACAGTGTACACACAATAAGCACATAGTACAAGAGGAAGGTAATTCCTTCATTCCTTACCTCCCCCAACCCCTACCCTCATTGACATAGTGGGGGAAAGAAACAAAACCCAGGAAGATTGAGATTCTAGTCTCAGCTCCTCAATTCCCTTGATTGTCACTCAGTCCCTGAACCTGAGCTACCTTATTTACAAAATGGGATTGATCATACTTACCCTGCTGAGCTCCTTGAGCACAGGAACTGTTTCAGTTTTGTCTTTTTACACTCAACAACTAGCACAATAGCCACCATCTAACAAGTGCATAATAAATGCTTGTTAATTGGTGCCTTATAGGATTGAGGATCACATAAAAAGTGCTATAATTTGGATTTCATCAGTCTTCTGAAGAAGCTGGTATGAGGGAATTATGAAGATACACATACACCACTGTTCCCCCCCAGGATACCCCAGGCTGGAGGCAGATTTCAAACTCTTGACAGACACACTGAAGATCTGAGTTCTAGTGTAGACTTTTTATGACCTGCTTGACCTTGGACTGACTGGAAGGGAAGATACTGGGGTAGTTAGTGGACTGCAAGTTCAAAATGAGTCAATATTGCCACCCCCCCAAAAAAAAGTTAATATATCTCTAATTCACATATTAAGAGGACTAGCTCCCAGGAATACGAGGCTGACAGGCTCACTGCCCTTTGCACTGGTCAGAAGATGTCTGGAACCCTTTGTTCAGTCCTGGCCACAACACTGCAAGAAGTCCGTTGACAAACTGGAGAATGTACAGAAGATGTCCAGGAGGAGGGTGAATGGCCTTGAATCCACATCCTATGAAGTCCAGTTGAAGGAATTGGGCATTGTCAGCCTGGAGAAGACTTAGGGGAAACATGAAGCCATCTTCCTCGAAGGCTGTCATGGAAAGGAAAGATGACCTTCCCTGGTTCTGCTTGACCCCAGAGGGCTGGATTTAAAGAGACAGATTGAGGCTGTAGAGCAGGAAGAGCTTCCCAGCAATAGGATGGTCTTCAAGGTTCAAAGGGCTCTCTTTCACCGGAAGTCTTAACAGAAGCCGCTGCCCCACTCAATAGGTCAATTAACTTGAAGGGCCTACTGTGTGCCAGGCTCAGGGCTAAGGTACAAAGAAGGACAAAAGGCAGTCCCTGCCCTCGGGGAGCTTACAGTCTGAGGAGGACGGGAGGCAAGGGCGGAAAGCTGTACAAACAAGCTCGAGATGGAGAAAGGGGAGATTATCCACGGAGGCAAGTCCTGGGTTAGGCCTCGTGGGAGGCCTGTGGGCACGGGACGGCCGGAGTCTGAGGTGGACATCAACAGCCGCGACCCCTAAGGGGCCCTCATGACCTGCCCAGCCCTCTCTCAGCTTTTCACGACGGCACGTCCGGGCGCTCCCTCAAGGGGAGCCCCCGCGCCCGCGCCTCCTCTGCCCGCCAAGCCCGCTTCGGAATGGCAGGCCAGCGGTTCCAGTGCGCCTGCGCTGGGGGCTCCTCAAGCCTCGATCCGGGCCCTCGGAGCCGGCCGGAGGGGGCGGGGCCCGCGCGTCGGCCCGGGCGGCGTGGGTGAGGGAGTCGGCCGAGGGCTGGAGCCGAGGAGGAAAGGGAGGGGCGGGGGTGAGGAGCGAGGAGGAAAGGGGAGAGAAGGGGGAGGCAGGGGGCGTGGCCCGGCCGCCGGCGCCGCGCTGGTGCCTCTCGGCCAATGAGCGGCGTCCACATGCCGCGGCGGCGAGAGGGGAGGCAGCAGCGAATAAATGCTATTAGAGCTGCCGCCGCCGTCGCCGTCGCCGTCGCTGCCGCGCCGCTCGCTCCCGTCCCCGACGCCGCCGCCTTCGCCGCAGTCTCCTCCTCGGGTCACCGCCGCCGCGGCCCTTTGGGGTGGGGGCTCCGCGGACGGAGCGAGCGCCGCTCCGGCTAGATAGAGCTCCGCGGGCGGGAGCGTCGGTGCGCCTCCGGAGCCGGGCCGACAGCGGGGGCCCACTGCCCAGCCGGCGGCCGGCGGGCGGGCGAGCGAGGCTCGAGGCGCGGGCCGGGCCGGGCGGCGGTTGGCGATCGAGGGCACCGTCCCGGGCTCGGGCAGGAGCCGGGCGAGGGGAGCGGAGCCGAGCGGGGCGGGGGGCGGCGTCACCTGCCCCGGGGCCGCGGGGGGGAGGGCGCCCGTGGGGTGATTCAGCGCTCGGCGGAGCGGAAGGAGGCAGCAGCAGAGGAGGAGGAGGAGGCGGCGGCGCCACGGCTGCTGCTGCTGCTGCTCCTGGTGGTGCGGGGGGTGGAAAGCGCTGCAACCGGCCTTGCCACCGCCTCCTCCGGTGCCGGCGGCCCTCGTGAGCCTGGGCTGCTGCTGAGCCGAGCCGAGCGCGTCCTAGCGGGGCGGGAGGAGTCGGAGGCGGCCCCGGGCGGGCTCGGGCTCGGGCTCCGCAGCCATGGAGAACGCGCACACCAAGACCGTGGAGGAGGTGCTCGGCTATTTTGGCGTCAACGAGAGCACCGGGCTGAGCCTGGAGCAGGTCAAGAAGCTCAAGGAGCGCTGGGGCTCCAACGGTGCGTGCCCGCAGCCCCTCGCCTGCTCGCCCGCTGCGGCAAGGGGAGGGGGAGGGGGCTGCCTGACACACGCCCGCAGAGGGGCTTCAGCCTTTCCTTGTAGTGGGCCCTGGGAGGGGGTACCCACGTTCTTAAGCCCCCTCCTTTGTGCCTCTGGGGTCCTTTCCCGTTTTGTGGAGGACAGCCCCTCCTAGTTGGGGGTGCAGACCCATCCCTCCCTTCCCGCCCCCCACCCTTGGATGTTGTCCGCTTTGCGCAGGAGGGGAGGGGGACCCACGCTTTTCAGCCAACTACCCCCCCCATGTTGGGGCCTCCCGTAGCCTTTTTTGGGGGCTCTCCCCGAGGGATGAGAAGGCAGCCCCTCCTAGTGGGGTCCCCGGGCTCCCCTCCCCCGCCCTCTGCGGAGGAGGGGGCTGTCGGGGGGCCGGGGCCGGGAGTCTGGGCGTGTGGAGTCCGCATCTGGCAGGGAAGGCGGCCTAAGAGAGAGGGAAGATGGCTGACTGGGGCTCCACCTCGTGGGTCTCTCCCACCCGGGCTTCCCCGCCCGGGTTTTCGCTGCGAACCCCCCCCCTTCACCCGAGCCTTCCCCACGTGGGGAGGGGGGCTCGGGAGGGCCACCGCAATCCGATGCCGGCCGTCGTGTTGTCCCTGGCCCCTTTTCCTTGACCTTCTTTTTGTGCCTTGGTGAATCACCCACGCAGCTCCAGCGCTTCTCTGGGGAATGAGAAACTGATCAATGAGCTGTCAGGAGAAATCGACCTCCCGTGGACCCGGGGCTTAGGACTTAGAGAAGCCTCTGACCTTCCGGTCACCCCCCCCACACACACACACATCTGGCAGGAGGGGTGACCTGGCTGATATGTCTCCTTTTTAGGGTCCCCTTCTTAGGTGGCTGGGTTTCAGTCTGAAATGTAGGCACAAGGTCATTAACCAAAAATAAAATTGTATCTTTCTGTTAATTGTCACCTACAGAAAAGATGGTCCTTGGTCTACTCTAGCTAAAGGTTTTATCTTCCAGAATGGAAGATGTTTAAATTTAAACAATTTTTCTTTTAGAAAAAACCGAATGTTAATGTTTTCTTCTTTTCTTTCTCTCATGTTCCCTTGCAAATCTCTGCATTCTACAGAATTGCCAGCAGAAGAAGGTAAGTCATTTGATTAAAAGTTTTTTTTTCCATTGTTTCTTGCCGAGGCTATTAAGATAACTGTTATAATAATTTGCATTTCTTATTATAGGGAAAACCTTATTGGAACTTGTAATTGAACAGTTTGAAGATTTATTAGTTAGAATTTTACTGCTGGCAGCCTGTATATCTTTTGTAAGTATAAAAAATGTCTTTTTCTTTTTTTAAAAAGTATTGGTCAGCCAGATATTGCAGGGATAAAAGTTGTAAAGCTAAAAGCAGAAAAGAGCAAGCAAAAATGTCATGTCAAAGTACTGTCTTGGTGTTAACCATTTGTATTCATAGGATATAAACTATTGATTTATTTTAGAATGGATGCTTCGGTCTGAGGGTGTTTTTTTTTTTAAACTAAGGCAGTTAAAGCTGATTAGATTTTCCAAACACATATTGTAGAGCCAAATAAGCTTCTAAAAGCAAAGGGTTTTTTCCCAATTATTAGGCCTTTTAAATTTTATTTTATTTTATTTTTAAATTTTGGCCGCTCCTTATTAACAAGTTATAAGATCACATGAAGATGGTGATGGGGTCATTGTCATCTGTAAATAGCACTTGCCAAAGGAATATTCCCAGTTGGTTTCCCTTTCTGGTAATAGCAAGGTGACAGTTGCTTCTGACGGGTACAAGAATGATGACGCTGGTGATGGCTCTGGGGTTGACCAAATTTGGTCACTGCCCTTCAGGGTGGTGGTATGTTCATCTAAGTTGGACCCCCCCAACTTTCCCGGACATGACTGAGTACCAGATAGAACTCCTCAGATGGAAAGGACAAAGTTCGGCATGCCCTGTTCCATGGACATAATGTTAGAACTGGGCAGTTTCCTGGTTGTGTGAGCTGGGGAGTCTCCGTTTGCATGCAAGAGCTAGTGGGGTTGCTAAGAAACGAGAGAGAAGGAGAGAGAGAGAGATATGCATGCAAAGAATGAAAGACTCCGGAGGTGATGGGGGCGAAAATGTTCTTGATAAGTTATTAACTGATTTGTTCTCTTCGTCGTGAAATTCTCATGTGGGTTATTCTTTTTTTGAGCCCAGAGAACATTTGTATAATGTGGTAGATAGAGGCCCTTGAAGAATTGCAAGGAGAGCTTTGAAAACTCGATTCTCTGGTTGAAATAAAACAGTCTCATTCAAAAAATTTTTCTTCCCCCACAACTTGAGGACAGGAAGGATTGGGCCTAATGTGACTGCATTATGTACAGGCGGCATGTGTGCCTCTGATTTTCAGCCAGGCATGGCTTTAGAAAACCCCCAAACAACCCACTTGAGGTGAATTTGTTGGCAGTTGGACAGGATACCAGCTGCCCCAAAGGGCTACCTTCATCTTTCCTCTAGCTGTCTTTTCTCTGAAGGAGATTTGAGGAATCGGCCAAGCCATTGACTTAGAACAGTAGACATCTGAGTTGTTTTCCAAAGGGTAGATCTAAGAGGAGCAAACATTCAGTAGACACAATTTTGGTGCTGTAACCCTAAAATGAGCTTTTCCCCACTAAGTATAGTGTGTGTCGTAATTACCGTGACAGTGCCATTAATTACCTTTAGGGTCTGGCCCTTGGATTCTTCTCTTAGGGGAAAGTTGAGGCATGATATCATAGCAAATGATTTGCTCAGCCTACCGAATTGCTCCCAACCTCCTAATGTGGCTCTTTTCCCCGATATTTTTTAAACTTAAATTACGTAGTTTAACTCTAACATATCTGAACAAATTCAGATCCTCTTTGGTGTAGGTTAATTGGTTTGCATGTGAGAAGTACACTACCATGTACTTGAGCTTTTAACTGCAAATGCTGTGTGGATTCATTGAGGGACTGAGCAACTGCTAATAGTCCTGAATAGTTTACAAGAGGAATAAACAGTAGGCAGCCAAAGAGCGCTGGAAATGACTTTGCTGCCTTACCTTGAGCTCTTCACAATTTGTTGAGTAGAATCAAATTTGATCTAACTTCACGAAATAAGGCAAACTGAATATTTAGACTGGGGAATGTCTTACACCTTTAGATGGCTGAAATGGTTTTTTAAAATCTCATTTCTGAGTCAACACAGTTTTGTACTTGGGGCTCACAAGGCGAGCCCCACCCCATCCCCCCACCCCTGGGACCAGTGAGATGTTACATCAAAAGCGAGGTCATGTATATGTTGAAGCAAAATTAACCTTAGCTACTGAGTGGTTGATGTTGGTAACACAGAGGTCAGTGTTGGAAATCTTAGTTGAGCTGGTGAGATGGTTGGGTCTCATTTAGGATCTGTTCGATTTCAAATGTAGGATATTTCTCCCTCTCTCTCCCTCCCTCTCCTTCTCTTTCTCTCTCTCCCTCTCCCTCCCCCTCCCTCCCTCTCCCCCTCTTTCCCTCTCTCTCTCCTCTCATTCTCTTTCTCTCAGTATATTTCTATACAGAGAGAGAGAGTCTGTATATAGTATAGTATGTTTTTAAAACTTAGCATGTGATGGATGTTGAAAGGATAGTTTATCGTAAAATGTCCATAGAGTTTATGGTTTCTTGGAATTCTTGTACTCATTTTCAGAGTATTTCAAGCAGCATCTTCTCTGACCTTTCCATCCCACTTATCTTATGGTGGTCACTGCTGGAAATTATACAGGATTCTCATCTTTTTTGAATTTTAAATTCTCTGGGGCCTGCAGCACAATGAGTCTTGTCATGCATTCGAATCTCTGTTCTGTTATTTAATAACTGTGTGACCTTGAGCCAGTGAACTCGTCTCTAAGCCATATTTTTTTTATCTATAAAATGAAGAGGTTAGATTAGTTGATACTCAAAGCCTGTTTCAACTGTGAATTCTGTGATTCTTTGAGAAAAATGACTGGGAAACAATTTGAAAATGAAAGTTGTTTAAATTTGAGTAGCTGAACAAGGCAGATATGAAGAGGCAGAAGAAAAACTGCTGTGCTGTGTAACTAATTTCTTATTACATTAGCTTCTTTTGAAAAAAAAGTGATGCCTAATTATTTCTTTTATTTTAACAAATGTGTTTTGTAAATGTGAAGTTTTGATGCATGTCTGATAGAGATGGGAATATGTGTTGTGTAATTGGCTCTTCTTAGATTGTAAAAATTCCCCTTGCCTAAACATTTATGTGATATTTCTTGGGACTGTTTGACATGCTAAACCAGAGAGTAAGCTGTTAATTCTGGTTAATGTTCTGCTATAGCGGAATATAGGAAATTGCAATTATTTTTACACTGGTGACTTTTAGGGATTTGTTTAGTCACTTCAGTTGTGTCCGACTCTCTGTGACCCCATTTGGAGTTTTCTTGGTGAAGATACTGGAGTGGTTTGCCATTTCCTTCTCCAGCTCATTTGACAGATGAGGAAACTGAGGCAAACGGGATGAACTGACTTGCTCAGGGTCACAGTTAGGAAGTGTTTGAGGCTAGATTTGAACTCGGGAAGATGAATCTTCCTGACTCCAGGCCCGGTACTCTGTTCCCTATGCCACCTAGCTGCAATATTCACCACAGAGTGTGTTGGGGGAAGGCCCTCAGTCTAGAATTATGTATGTATCTGTGTGTGTGTGTGTGTGTGTGTGTGTGTGTGTGTCTGTCTGTCTGTCAGAGAAAGAACGAGAGATACACGCGCACACAGAGGAGTGAGAACATAAATGGAGTGACCCTGGGGTTCTAAGGTCAGTGTTTGCTGCTGCTTACCTTTTAATTTGTGGGAAAGTGCTAGGGATTTTTTTTCTTTTTCCTACCTAGATTTGCTTAGTCCAGCTTCTGATAAGCCGCAGTGAACCTCAGATGTGATCGTTACCTCTTCATAAGCTGCTTACCATTTCATTGTTATCTCCTGTTCTCTTCCCAGCTTCTGGCTTGCCTTCCTCCTGAACCTCTCCAGCCTCTCCCCCTTTCTGATGTGCCAGCACTGATACTTCTCTGAGGCCCCCTCCTTCCCTGACTCCCCAGGTCCTAGAACAGAGGACTGAACTCGGGTTCAAAGAAATACTTGGGTTGGTTGGACTAGCCAGTTGTATGTGGTTGGCTTCCAGTGTGGTTAATGATGCTGATTCCTGTGGGTTTATAGTCTGAAATCAACATCGTTTTTCCTGTTTAACCTTATAAACCATACTTGGTTGACTGTCTTTTGATGTGTTCTTCCATCCTTGGTTATATTGAAGGCTCCATTATTAGTTTTTTCTAATTTTATTTGTAATAGAAATGATTAGCAGCTACTTCCTGTCCTTAAAGGTAAGCCTGTTAGGGGAGTTCTATCAGCAATAATCAGTACATCTTCATAGATCCTTTCTATTCTTCCAAAATACTCATCAAATAGAAGTCTTTTGTGTTAGGTCTTAGATTTGTATCAAAAGGAAAAACACAGTGAAGGTTTTTTTTAATAGAAAAAAATTTTTTAAACAAACTAGCATTGTCTTGCTCTCACATAAAAGAGCAAAATCTAGGTCAGTGGCTACAAGCATTTATTGACGCATAGGTGTTAATTGCTGGCAATATGTAAGCCAGTCCCTGTCCTCAGGAGGATTACATTCTGATGCAGAAGACAGTCACATACAGAGTACACGGAAGGTAAAGTTAGCCTGGAAGACGTCAGCAGCTGAGAAGGCCGGGAAAGGCCTGTAGTTTGTTACTGAAATGTGTGCCTTGAGACCTGCTGCCAAGAAGGAAATTCAGCCTCTTTCTAACAAGGTGCGAAGCTTATCTTCGAATTGCTAATGCCTCACTGACCTTTAAGAAAGGCCCTTCTCCTCAAGTCCAACAATTTTTTTTTTCCTAGCTAGAGAGTTAAGTTTCTATTTCTAATACACTCTCCTTGGCAAGCCTTGGGAAGACTAGCAGCAGAGCAGCTGCCATCTTGCATCCATTACAATTTATCACTTCCTCAGGGAAGTTGTCTTTTTGGCACTAGGCCTGGTCCTCAGGGGCTGCAGGAATGTGCTGTGTGTCAGAGAGCCTCCTTTTAGACGGTCGGGCCCTCTCTCATTCTCTCCTTGGGGTTTGCCTGCCTCAGTATTTTCAGTATCTTTTTAGAAATTTGGCTATATTCCAATTTTTCCCCCATTTTTGTCTCTGTACCTTGCCCTTACAACCATTAAACAGTAGGCACTGAATTCTCATTGGATAAGACCATACCAATTTCTTGTGGCAAGGTTTTTAGCCAGACGTGTTTTTATTACCATTAATTCCAAAAATGTTCAAAGATTATATTCACTGCCTACTAACTAGATCAGTTGAACTCTTATTAGCCACCATTACAAGTATCTGTTTAAAATACAGACTCTCTGTCCTAACATATTGGAATGCTTTCATTTCAACTCTTTATATTTCACCTGTCCCTCAATTAAAGAGGTGGGGTGATTGACCTTGTAGTGCCAGCTTTGGCACCAGTAGGGTTAGGGCAATGTCTGCTGGTCTTCGGTTTTGTAGCACACTCCTCTTAATATGATCCCATCATTACCTGGTTTAGTTGGAATCCTGTATTAATGTTTGAACTTGGGCTTTGCTGTACTTCAGTCATTTCAGTCCTGTCTGACTCTTTCTGACTCCATTTGGGGTTTTGCCATGTCCTTCTCCAGCTCATTTTACAGAGGAGACAAACAGACTTAAATGACTTGCCCAGGGACACACAGCTAGGAATTGTCTGAGTCCAGATTTTAACTTGGGTCTTCATGACTCCAGGCCCAGTGCTCTATCCACTGTGCCTCCTAGCTGCCCTGGGGTTGTGCTATGTGTCTGAATGCTTCTTGGAAAATGCTTTTCCTTCACTTAACCCCATTGCCTAACCAAAAAAAGAAAAATAAATAAGTAGACTATTAGAAAAAAAGAAAAATGCTTTTCCTGAGATTGCAAGTGTCTGATTTTTTAAAAATGATTTTTGCTCATTTTTTCCCCTTCTTTTAAAAAAATTCTTTGTTATAAGGGATAGCTCTCTGGGAAAGAGAGATACAGGGGGAAAGGAGATGATGTAAAAAAAGTGTATCAACAAAACCTATCTTTTAAAAAAGTTACTGCACTGCCTGGGAGTGGTTTTATTCTCAGCCAGTTTTCAAGAAATCTGAAAAATAAACTTGGGGTAAGAATCTCAGGTATTCTAAAATATCATGATCATGTCTACTGCTTAAGAGAATTTAAATAACTTTTAGTTAGCTGGTGTCTTTAGCATACTTTTCATTACTTGTTTCCCCTTTGGATTGTACACGAATGGTAATTTGAACTCTAGAAATTGCTTTGAGAATATAATGATACTCGGCCTTCGTCTTTTTTTTTTAAGTATATTTAGCACCACGTTAATTTAGCACCATTTCTGCTTCCTATGTACAAGCCACCATGCTGACCAATAGTTCCCGATTCAAATGATTTCAAACGAGTAGCCAGGTTGTTTCTTTACTATATTCTTTGACCGTCTTTGGCTGTTTTCAGTTAGGAGTAGGTATTGTTGGTTTAGATGTATGTAACTTTTCTCGAAAGCTAGTATTTGATAAATCCTGGGAGAGCTCCAAAGAAGGATAAGACTGGAACCCTGTACTCAAGGAAAGTAGAGTCTAACAGAGCAGGCATGTGACTCTGGGTGAGTTAACTGCTCTGGGAGCCTCAGTCTCTTCTTTTGCTGGTGGTTGCGGAAGAAGGTGCTTTGTAACACTTACCGCTTAAGATTAATATGTTAATCGTTGAAAGAGTTGAGAGATACAAAGTGCTATGATGGCTTGGAGAAGGAAGAGGTTGCCCTCAGGCAGGAATCAGGGTCTCATGAAAGAGATGATTGATTTGAGTCTGGAAGGATGGGCAAAATCGGACCTTCCACCTACACTCCCATGGCCTGTCCGTTTCTGCCCATCCTTCAAGGCTTCAGGAGGCATCAAGCGTAGGATGGGCAGTTGGATAAGAGAGGATGAGGTAGGGATAATAGGTTATGGGCCAATCATGGAAGGCCTTGGACACCAGCTGAAGTCGGTTGTACTTTTGGGTAATGGAGAGCTATTGAGATTCTGCAGGATTCTTGTGTTTGGTTTTCTAGCAAGATGATGGCATGGTTAGAGATATTTTGGTTGGAGATTAGTTGGGCTGTGTAGACTAGAGGGTGAACAGATTGGAGGCAGTGGGGCTAGGTCATTAGAACAATCCAGATGAAGGTTTGGGAACTAGGATGGTGACAACCTGTATCTCTGGCTGCCTTGAAAATGAATGTGGCTGTATTTTTCTGCTAATGCTCAAACACTCAGTACATGGTTTTGGTACATTTTGAATATCCATGAATTGTCATGAGCAGCCTGGTGCTGGTTGCAAACACCCTACTGCTCTTGGGCTTTTTCTGGGGAAGTTAAGAAAAATCGTGTGGCACCTTAAAGTGGAACATAGTATGCTCCGCTCACTGCAGCAAATGTCATTTGCTTTTGCAGGTCCTGGCCTGGTTTGAAGAAGGCGAAGAAACAATCACAGCTTTTGTGGAGCCTTTTGTAATCCTGCTCATTTTAGTGGCCAATGCCATTGTGGGCGTGTGGCAGGTAAGCCGCAATGTTTACAAAGCAGCGTAACTAGTGGGTGATGGTGTTAACCCGTCCTCTCGTTCATTCCAGAAGCAGGTCCCTGTCTATTCTAATCTAAGATCTGTGATCTTCTGTAGGGATTCAGTAAAAGGAAGCAGGCTGGTTCTTTTTGTCTGCAGCAAAACTGTCTCTTTCTCTCCCCTCCTGTGATTTTTTAATTACTTTTTCTCTGTTCGGTAGCTTGCTAAGAAGCTACCTGGCTTACCAGAGAGCTAGAAGATCTTTTTCCTTAGGTTTTCCTGACTCCTGGGAAACAGTTTTAGGACCTTAGCATCAACTTGTGATTTTGGCATGTGCTTCATGGGGAAGATGCTGCAAATTGTTCATCCTAGTATGGTCTCTTTTCCCCTCCAGTCACTCAGCCAGTTTGTGCTCATGGATTATAATCAAGTTGACTTAATAAATATTAAGAACCTACCTTGTGCCAGGCTCTGTGCTGAGCTCTGGAAATAAAGATGAGAAAGTCTCTCCTCTCCAAGAGCGTACAGTACAGAATAAACCAAGAATAATAATAAATAAATTTAGTATGGCCTCTAAGACAATAATCTACTACAGAAACGTGATACACTGTGTTTCAAAGTCAAATAGGAATGTCTTCTGTGTTGTTTTGTGGGCCCGTGGTTTATATTTCCCATGTGTCCCTTGCAGTGTCTAAGGCAAAGCTAGGCTCAGAGCCCTTCAGCAAGCATAGCTGGGGGTCAGGGCAAGGTGGGGATTAATGCCCTAGGATGGTAGTGGAAGTAGATGGGTTGGCAGTATTTCCAGGACCATTGCTTTACCTGTATTACAGGTAGATGCTGATGCGCTTGGAGACATCGGTAACCCAAAGGTATCTGAAGATACCGAGAGTGCTGTGATGTGGGATGGCTGGGCAGGAGGGGAGGCTGGGGAGCCAGAGGAGCTGTTGCAGAAGTTTGGCTAGAATGGGAGGCAGTGACTCCTGCCCAAGAAGGTGCAAAGTGATGATCGCCCACATTTGATCATTCATTTGCTAAGACTGACTCGCTGCTTGACTGGCCTTTGACTCCCATGTCCAAAGGTCATTCTGAGCTGGCAGAAATGAGGAAGCAGAAGGAAGAGCTCATTTTTAGGAAAGAAATGGGAGATGAGTTTGGTGGTGGTGGGACAGCAGCGCTGGGGGGCCGCTCCACGCACTCACTTGCAGCTTTCTTGCTTGTAGGACAAGTGTTAATGGGTGGTGGGGTGTGGAGGCTGGCCCTGCAAGCTTTGTAGAATTTTGGGGGGGACAAATTTTTTGATTGTCATGGGACTTGACCTTTGTGTGCATCTCACTAAGACATTGAGGTCAAGCTTCTCTCTCCACTGTTGCTCTCAGCTTCTTGGGCTGAGGTGGTGGCAAAGATGTCTTGAAAAGAGGTTGGCCAAGTGAGGTGGGGGAAACAAGTGAATGATGCCTGGGAAGAAATGATGGGGCTGGGGACCTCATTGGGGGCCTGTCTGTTCCCTTTACATGACGGGAATGATGGGGTTTGTGATCTTAATGCTAGGGATTGTGATATGGCAGAGTCAAGACTCTTGGGCTCAAAATCTTGAACTTCGACACGTAAGTAGTGGGGCAGCCTCAAAGGTTCGTTTTCCTAAAAGGAACCTTTGGACATTATCAGTGACAGCTTTTTCTGTTCTACCTTTGACAAATCTTGGCAGTTAGGTGGTGCAGTGGGTAGAGTCAGGAAGACCTGAGTTCAAGTTTGGGCTCAGAGACCTTTGCCTGCCTCAGTTTCCTTATCAGTAAAATGGGGATAATAATAGCCAGTACCTCTCAGGGTTGTTGTGAGGATCAAACAAGATCATATTTGTAAATCACTTTGCAAACCAAATGCTAGCTGTTACTAATAATAACACATTTAACATGATTTGATTTTTCTGGTAACATTTAACATAGTAACACTTGCCCTTGAAATAACATTTTTAAATGTTGCTATATTCTCAAATATAATTGTCCTTCAAGGATGAAAATGTGTCTTAAGAGAACACATTTCTGTTATGATAGAATTGCATGGGAAGATTGGATTTGTTCAATGACAATTCACTTTACCTCAAAATCGTATAAAATGCTGCTTAAAAAAAACCCTTCAGCATTCTTTACATTTGCAGAATATATTCTTGAACCCCAACCCCCTTTCTTTCTTCCCTCTCCATTCCATTAAACTAGGCTGGCTTGTATTCATTTATGCTAAGCACCTATACCCAAATTCTTTAATTGGCTTAGACAATTTGGGGCTAAATTATGTACAGTGATTTATCTTTTCCCCTTCCTCTTTTTTTGTTTCCTTCCTTAATCCGACCCCACACAAAAACAAAATTTCTTTCCTCCAACTTCTTTTTTAAAGATAGTGGTAGGGAATGTACCAAGTGTTAATTGGCGTTGATTGGCCTTTTGTTTCTAGAAACGTGGAATGTTTAAGCTTTTCCATGTTCTTATTGAGAAAGCTTCTTTGCTCATTTTTGTTGTGTTTAATATGGTGAAAGTGTGACTTAGGTGCTCTCTCAAGAATAGACTTCAATTTCAGCCATCTGGTGAAGTTCTTCACCCTACAGGTCCCCAGTGTAGGCAAAAGGAAGCTTTGAATTTGCCTGGATTGACAAAGAAGGAAATTTCTTAAACTTGCTTATAACCCAGCATCATCAGTGCTTACAATTCTTCCCCAAACCTCAGTGAGGCATGAACTATCCCTGCAAGGGGAGGAGGGTCGTGGAAAGGTGACTTTATTGTTTGGGCCTCAGAATCCAGGACATGTAACAGATTGCCTAGTTGCACAGAAACATAGGTGTGTTCTTCTCCACCCACGAGTACTTTGAACAAACCTAATATATGAGCGTCTTGATTGGCTTTTTAGAGTGTTTGTGTGTACAAGACTACTTTGAATTGTAAGATTCCTTCATGTATTTAGATTTAGTTTTTCTCAATTTAGCATAACTATAATATATTAGTATATTTTAGGGGGGGCCTTTTTAGTTCCATTTAAACAGCCTTCTTAAGGTTTCAACCAGCTGTTGTGTCTGTGATTCTGTGGAAGAATGAATTGGGTAGAGTGAGGCATACCTAATCAACAACCATTTATTTCTTTATTTATTTTTCTTCTTTTTTTTTTCATTAGTTTATTTTGATTTATCAACAATCACTTCCCTAAGCTTTTGAGTTTAAAATTTTTCTCCCCCTCTCTTCCTGCCTCCCTCCCCAAGATGGCACACAGTCTGATATAGGCTATACAATATACATTCCTGTTAAACAAATTTTCACATTAGTCATGTTGTAAGGAAGAATTAGAACCAATAGGAGGAACCACCAGAAAGAGGAAGAAACAAAGTCAATGGAAGAAAAAAATAGCAAATAGTATGCTTTGATCTGCATTCAAACTCTATAGTTCTTTCTCTGGAGGTGGATAGCATTTTCCATCATGAGACTTTTGGAGATAGATGTCTTAGATCCTTGCATTGCTGAAAAGAGCTAAGTCTATCAATGTTAGTCATCACACAATGTGACTGTTACTGTGTACAGTTCTGGTTCTGCTCACTTCACTAAGTATCAGTCCATACAAGTCTTTCCAGGTTTTTCTGAAGTCACCCAGTTCATCATTTCTTATACCTCCATTACGTTCATATACCACAACTTGTTCAGCCATTCACGAATTGATGGGCATCTTCTCAATTTCCAATTCTTTGCCACCGCAGAAAGAGCTGCTATAAATATTTTTGTACGTGTGGGTCCTTTTCCCATTTGTATGATCTCTTTGGGATATAGCCCTAGAAGTGCTATTGCTGGGTCAAAGGGTATGCACATTTTTATAGCCTTTTGGGCATAGTTCCAAATTGCTCTCCAAAATGGTTGGATCATTTCACAACTCCACCAACAATGCATTAGTGTTCCAATTTTCCCACATCTTCTCCAACCTTTATCATTTTCCTGTTTTGTCATGTTGGCCAATCTGATATGTGTGATATGGTAACTCTGAGTTGGTTTGATTTGCATTTATTTCTCTAATCAATAGTGATTTAGACCATTTTTTCATGACTGTAGATGGCTTTAATTTCTTTTTTTTGAAAGTGGTAGTGGTAGTGTTTTAATTTACAAATGGCCATTAACAAGATGTTTAACTTGGGTTTACACTTAGCATGCCGTACAGTGAAAACTCCAGCTGAATTTTTGTAGCTCATTATCTTGAATGTTACATTATGGTTTTCTTTAAATAACTTACTCAGTATTGTGACACTAAAATAATTTTACATGATAGATGCAGAAACATGAAATAATTTTTCTAAATAAATATTTTAGGAAGAACATTCACATTCATTTTGTCATGGGTTTCTTTGTGGCTCTTCTATGTGTGTGTATATGTACATTTATACTTATGTTCATATAAATATATATGTTAATCAAATTAATGAGGCATTGGTCCTATACAATTTTTAACAGTCCATTTTCAATTTTAAAATGTAACAGTACAAAAACAAGCAATATGTTAAAAAATAACCCAAAAAAATGCCAATATGACATTCTCTAGCTAGAACAAAATGAAGTAAAAGTACATATTAGTGGCAGGCTATGCATTTCAAAGAATCATTTTCCCAGTTAAACAAAAGTTGAAATGTAAACATATTAGTTTCTATGTTTTTTTTGAAATGGTTTAGAATGTCAATTTAGGTCTAAATATTAGGTTTAATTTTTTGCATATTTAACATAATGATTTCAAAATAATCTATGATGTCATTTATGGCTCGTCAGTAATGGATGGCTTTAATTTCCTCATCTGAGAACTGCCTGAACAACCATTTATTAGTTGCCTGCTGTGTACCAGGTGCTTTTGTTGGCAGCTGAGTGGAGCAATGGATAGAGCGCTGGGCCTAGAGTCAGGAAGACTTGTCTTCCTGAGTTCAAATCCGGTGTCAGACTGTGTGACCCTGGGCAAGTCCCTTCACTCTGTTTGCCTCAGTTTCCTCATCTGTAAAATGAGCTGGAAAAGGTAACGCAAACCACTCCAGTATCTTTGATGAGAAAACCCCAAATAGGGTCATGAAGAGTGGGATACAACTGAACAGCAACAAACGTGCCCCTTGCTAGAAAGACTCAAAAGACAAAACTGTCCCCGCCCACAAAAGCTTCTGTTCAGTCAGGGAGACTGATACATTTCTACGTGTTTGTACAAAATGAATGCACAGCTGTGTGTGGGCAAGGTACTAGCAGCTAGGAGGCTTGAGCTGGGGCTGAGTCTTACTGAGGGTGTTTTAGAGTCAGAGGAGAAGAGGGAGTCAGGAGCATTCTGGACGTAACGGACGTCAAACACCGAGGTGTGGTGGAACACAGCAAGAAGACTGATGTTGATGGACCTCAGAGGGTTGGAAGGGAAGTGACGTATGGCAGGCTTGGAAAGGCCTGTCAAAGCCAGGCCCAGGAGCAATAGGGAGTCGGTTGAGTGGGGGGCGGGGGCATTGGGCTTCTCCTTTAGGAAAATCACTTGACAGCTTGGGTTGTACTGGGGAGAGACCTGAGTCAGGGAGATCCATTAGGGTCTTGCAGGAGTTCAGGGAAGAGGGCATGGGTGTGAGGTAGAAATGACAAGATTTGGCCCCAATTTGAAATGTGGAATGGGAGCAGTGAGTATGATTTCACAGATATCTAGAACTGGGTAACCAAAGGATGGGGGTACCCCTCAACAGAAATAGGAGAATGCGTTTTGTATGTGTGGAGTTTGAGGTACCCACTAGGCATTGAATTTGAACTGTCCAACAGGCAGGTTTCGATTTGCTGGCACAGGACTACGGACTTGGAAGAGGAGACTGTGTCTCTATGTGGAGGTCTGGTAGTTACCGACAAGCGTGGAAGTGATCATTAGACCCATGGTAACTGGTCATCAAATGAGCATGGAGGGAAGAGGGCCCAATCAGCCATCAAGCATTTATTCTCAGTTTCTACTCTGTGCTAGGTACTGAGCTAGGCATAGGCTACATATTCAAATATATACAGAATAAATAGAGAATAAAGAAAACAAGGTAGTTAGGGAGGTGGGCCTCTAACAGGTAAGGGAGGGGTCAGGGAAGACTTGGTGTAGATGGTGCCTCTGCTCCATCTTAAAGGAAGAGAGGAATCCTATGGGGGCAAAGTCAGCACAAGGGTACGTGGATGGGATGTGAGGAGCAGAGAGCTCTGGCCAGCGGGAAAAACATCTAGTGAGGTTGGAAAATCAGTTTGAGTCCAGGTAGTGCAGGGCTTTAAATCTTAAACAAAGGAGGGAAATCTGCACTTAAGGAAAACCATGTTGTGGTTAGTGTGTAGGATAGGCTAGAGTGGAAATATCCCTGACAAAAATGCTTTATAAGGGGCAGCTAGCTGGTGCAGTGGATAGAGCACCAGCCCTGGATTCAGGAGGACCTGAGTTCAAATCCAGCCTCAGACACATAACACTTAATAGCTGTGTGGCCCTGGGCAAGTCACTTAACCCCATTGCCTAAAATAACAACAATAACAACACCAAAAAAAATGCTTTATAAGATTAAGCTTACTATCAGATGTGATAAAATTGGGTCATTTTATGATAAATAGAAGATGTCTGCAGCATTTCTAGGGTTTGTGGGAAGTGATATGATTTCTTGAAGGAAGGTAACTGTGTCCTTGGGCAGGTCTCTTTATGTTTTCTTCTTTATCTATATAATAATAGGGTTGAGGCAGATAATGTCTGAGGTTTCCAGCTCTCAGTTCTGTGATCTGAGGACCCTGGCTTCTGAAAATGCCTCGAGAGGGCAGAGGGTGTCCAAGCACTCCTGCTGCTCCCTCCTTTTTTCTTGTCCTCCATCTGTTTGATCAGACCATGTAGTGTAAGATCATGATAGTCTTGAATTGAATTCTGATTTTCTTCAGAATGATGTTGACATTTGTGAATTGTTTGAACCACAGAATGACCTTGACCACACAGGTTTCTGGCATTCTTCTAGACTGTAATTTTAACTGGATTTAGTGGTTCTAGATTGGATTGGCTCTTTGACCTAGAAAGGGACTTCACGAACTTGATGACAATAAGAGGTCAATAATTCATAATCTGGCTTGGCTCTGCTAATTAATGGTGGTGTTGCCATCAACAACACTTCTTAAAATGTCTTTTTTTCCTCCATTTGTTTTTAACTACTAGTTGGTAGGCATTTAACATTTTTTTTTCTTACAGGAAAGAAATGCTGAGAATGCAATTGAAGCTCTTAAGGAATATGAACCTGAAATGGGCAAAGTTTATCGACAGGACAGGAAGAGTGTCCAGCGGATCAAAGCCAAAGACATAGTTCCTGGGGATATCGTGGAAATAGCTGGTGAGTAGTTGGGTGTTTGGTTTTTTTTTTCCCAGATTGTGCATGTGAGCATCCTACTTTGTAGTGTCTTGTTGTTCTGAAGTCTGTGTGTTTATCTGTAATTACACCTAAATGAGCCCTTGCATATATGAATTATCTTATTATCACATTTTAGGAGTGGCCAGCATCAAAACAGAGCCTTGCTGTATCCTGAATTATATGTTTCAAAGTGTTTTGGCATCTTCCCCTACACATTGACTACTGAAGTTTTCTGTACAAGATTTGTTTGAATTACTGTATTTGTCTGGTTTGTGCATGCTGTTTGTGCTAGAATACCGATATTCAGGAATGGTGCTGAAATTGTTAATATTTTGTATTTGGATGTAGTGAATGTTTGAAGGCTTTGAAACTAGAGGATGTGAATTTTTTCTGTTTTCATCCTCTGTACAATGTTAAAAAAAAAAAACTTCTTGGTGTTACCCATGAGAATTAGGTTGAAGGGACCAGATGTCACTTATAAATTGTTTCTCTCATGGAAGAGCCATAAATAAATATTATCTTGGAGAATAACTCATTGACACAGCCTCTGTGCCTCCATTTCCTCATCGGTGAAATGAGAGAGTTGTACTCGGAGACCTCAGAGGGCTCTTCCGAGTCAGGATCGATGCCTCTCTGGTCCTCGTGAATGCCAGAGACCTTGGGCAGAGCATCCCAGAGGCGGCCTGCACGCTTTCTGTCATTGTGCGGATTTGTCCCTCGGTCACCTGTGTGGGCACTTTAGGTCCCTACTAAAATCCATCTGCTACAGGAAGCCTTTCCCACCTCCTCAATTCTGGTGCCTCACCTCTCGATTATTTCCTGTTTATCCTGGAGATAGCTTGCCTGTGTGTGTTCTCCGCCTTCAGATCGGAAGCTTCTTGAGGGCAGGGACTGTCTTTTGCCTCTTTTTGTGTCCTTGCTAGATGTTTATCTGTGTACCTTAGCTAAGATGAGGTAGCTCCTGCCCTTTCAGAGTGAGTTTACCATCTAATTTTGTTCTCATGATAATTTCAGCCGTCCTACTTGCTAGTGGTCTGGCTAGAGGGGAATGGTTAGCCAAGGGTCATTTCCGTTAAGTCTACTGGAATGGCAGGCAGCACAGCTCCCTCTTGTGCCGGTGAGCCTGCAGTGGGGAGGTGGCCTTTGGAAGGAAGTTGCTTTGTCCTAGGGATCAGCAAAACCTGGGACTTTATTCCTGAAGCAAGGCTTTAATATTATGACCATTAACATTGTAGCCAGTACTGGTGACTTGAGTTCCAGAGGTAGCGGAATGAACGGTGCCAGGAAGGGGAAGTGTTTTAGTCACTGTCTGAGTTAAAAATGACAACCACACATTTCTTTAGTTAGCACTGTGGTTTACAGAGCGTTCCTTCTGACATCCCCAAGATGCGGGTGGTGTATCTCTAAACTCTATTTTATAGAAGAGGAGACTAGGCACAGAGAGCTCCAGTATCTCATTGAAGGTCGCACGGCTAGTAGGTGGCCAAGCCAGGATGTGGGCCCTTTTGTTTATCTGCCCACACGCAGTATGGGGCTTCTTACCCCTCTGTGGAGGTGTGTCTATTAGCAAAGGAAATGAAAGTGCTCGTCATTGATGCTTTTGTATGAAATGTGGTGGGTGGAATGTGCGAAGTCACACTGCATAATTTAAGCGTTTGTGAATTATTCTGACTTTTTTTTAATAAGCCCCTTTTCAGCTTCCTGGCAGAATACACATCTTCTGTCAGCCGTAAGGATAAAGATATTAAGCCATTTCTAATTCCTAACCAGTCTTAGTTGGAGAGACCACTCTAACCTTGAATCAGTGAGGCGCTGCTCTTCATTTACCTCAGTAGATGGCAGTGTTCAGGATCTCTCTGGGAAAGAGATCACGGAAGAGGGCAAGGGGAAGAATAAAGTTTTGGAGGCCTCTTTTGAAGAGAGAAATAAAGGAGGGCTGGATTATTTTCAGTGGAATAAAGAAAAAATGTTCCTTAAGAAAGTGGAACTAGGAAATCTGAGCTGACTTGAAACAAGAGTGGGGAGTCACAGACTAGCAGAATTCTAGAATTTGAAAGGCTCTCGGGGTAACGTAGACCCAAAACGGTAAGCGCCTGAGCCAGCGATGAAGCTGGGGTCCTTTGAGTTCAACTTCGTGGCTCTTTACTGGGACCAGGTGAAATTCCCACCACCTCTCTAGTCGAGAGGGTCAGTCACCTTCGCTTGAAGACCTCCATGGAAGGAAAGATCACTACGCTCCAGAGCAGCCCGTTTACTTGGGGACAACCACCAGACAATATTGTTAGAACGTTCATCTTTAGGTCAGGCCCAAACTTTGCCTCTTTGCTTTCTCTCTTCCTTCCTAATTTGCCCTCTGGAGCCAGAGGGATCAAGTATAATCCCTTCCCCAGAGGACAGACAGCCTTTCAAACACTTGAAGACACCTGTATGTTCCTCCTAAAGTCTTCTTTTCTCCAGGCTAATCGTCCCGTTTCTTGAGTCCATTCTGAAATGGTATGAACTCAAGGCAGCCCTTTACCATGCTGATTGCCCTCCCCCGCAGCTTATCCATTTCCTCCTTAGAATATGGCACCCTAAATGGAACACAGACTTCACCTGTGGTCCGAGCAGGCCAGACAGTAGACCAGTTCTCCCGCTTCCTTTTTCCTTGAAACCTTGCCTCTCAGTGCAGCGTAAGATTACAGTGGTGCTCTTGGGGGCGCCATGCTGTGTGGCTGGCTTTGAGTTTATAGTTCATTAAAGCTGCTGCCTCCCCACCTTGTACTGAGAAAGTGGGGTTTTTTTGAACTGTCATATGAAGACTTGAAAATAAATAGGGATGAGTAGCATTTACTCAGTTCAGTCCAGTGGGTTCGAGCTTGTCAAATCTTTTCAAATCCTGGCTATTGTCATGCTTGTCCTAAGGGACCTTAGCATATAAAGGGAGGTAAGAGGACTTGACCAAGGGGTGTGTGTCTCAAGCGCAGGTGTGCGCGCGTGCGCGCGCGCACACACACACACACACACACACACACACACACAGAGCTAGGCTCAGAAATGGGCTGCTGCTACAGAACACGCAGTGTTTTCACATCCTTTTGTCTTTATGTTCCTTCTTAGTGCGGGGTTGAGTCACTTCATTTGTCTTGCTAATAGCAAAGTAACGAATGTCATGCCATGGAGTATGGGGTGACTCAAGTCTGGCCTTTGTTTGCCTTTTCTTTGTCCCTGGGGAGAGCCTTGCTGAGGGGGCCAGGGCTGCTAGTGGCTCATAGTGTGATTGCTGTTTTTAAAAAATCTTCTGCAGAGTAGTGGGGGGACACCAGCCTTCCATGCTGGAGTTACTACTGAATGAGGCAAGAGATAGCGGGAGGGAGATCTTGAAAAGCTGAACGTGGCACAGATGCCTGTGTGCTCTCTGCCATGATAAGTTGCGTTTGTAATACACACCCTGTGGTAGAAGGGGCAGATTGCACCAGAATATTATGTTACAGGATTAATTATGTAACACCTGTGTGTGTGTGTGTGTGTATATATGTGTGTGTGTGTGTGTGTGTGTGTGTGTATAATATATGACCAGCCCACAAATAATAAGTGCTTGTCAGCTGAATACAACAGCTTCCAAAGAGTTGAAAATTACTCTGTGGGTCTAATCAGTGACTCAGAGCCAGTGAGGTGCTTCATAAAAGAACAGGTGTGAAAGGTATCATTGGGACGATGACGTGTATTAGACTTATCCCATGGCAAGGCTGGGGGGCGACAGCTGGACAGCTCAGGTACTCCATTGGTGTTCTTGCTACTATGGAAGGCTTCCAGCATTGGGGGGGACCCCCTATGGCAGATTTCTAGAAGGGCCTGGATGAGAATCACAGGATAGATATATGTAGGCAGAAGTAGATTTCAGTCTGTGTAGTTCAAGGGAACAGTCTGTCCTTTATCCCAAGTCATCGATAAGAACATTAAACAGCCTGGGGCAAAGCCAATATCCGGGGGCATTCATTCCACTGAAGACCTAGCCAACTGAAATGGAACCACTGATGACCCCTCTCTGGGTCTGACCACTGAACCTGTCTAGAATTCACCTGATTGTATGAGGAGAGAGACAGAGAGAGAGAGAGCTCACACTTCCATCTTCTACACAATTATTATAGAGATTTATAAAGGTGTTTTTCGTGGTTTGGGTAAACCGTCTCCCTAGCATTCCATGTAACCCTTGTGTCAAAAAGGAGAGTGAGGTGATTGTGGTGTGACTCATTTTTGATGATACCCATGTTGGCCCTTTGTGATCCCGCTTGGTGTGGGTTCATTTATTTGTTTGTTTGTTTGTTTATTTATTTATTAGCTATTTCCTGGCTCTTGTCTCCAATTAGATGTTTTAGAATTTTGCTAGAGAATTGAAGTTGAGCTCGCTGACGCTGACTCTGTCCCCGTTCTGTACCATTCTTCCCCACCTCAGTCCGAGTGGCTCAGCGGTCCCTCTGGTAGTTTCTCTGCTGCCTTTGGTTCAGCTCACCCAGGCCTGCTGACTTACGAGGGTGGTGTAGGTGCTCTTAAAAAGAGCTGGATCAGCTTGGTCTCCCCAGCCAGAAGCATTAGCAACAACTCCCTCAGTGCTACAAAGTAAGGGAAGCAGGTACGGCGTCTATCCCTGACCCACATTTTATAGCCAGGATGTCATTGCAGAGTTCCATCACCTGTAACTGTTTGGTCCTGGAGAATCCCCTGGGAAGCCGTCCCCATTGCCCTCTCCCTGTCCTGAGTCTTCTTCCCCCAGTGCTGGAGGGAGATCGCCCCCAGCTTGTAGACACAGCTCCACTAACCACATGTCCTTTCCATTCTAACTGGTGCTGGCTTTTGTAGTGTTGCCTTTAACTTGCTGTGATATAGAAAGAGCTGACTTTTAGGAAAAAAAGAAATGTACTCTTCCAAGTAGGTCAGTATTTTGAATATAGTTTTCAACATACACATGTGTAGTCTTCTCCACCCCCCACTCCCCAAAGAGG